TAGTTATATTAGGCATGCGAATTCAGCAAAATGAAAAATAAAAAATAACTTAGTGATTCAAAACGAAACGGAGATAAAAATATCTAAAAATAGAATGTAAAGAAAAGAAATTACAAAGAATGGGGGAACGGAAAATATCTGAAAATGAAGATAGCAGAAAAAAGTTAAAAAATTGCCATGGCGGTTGTGGAGAGGGAAACTGGTTCAATTGGAGGTAGGACAAGGCTAGAAAAATAGACACACTGAAGGTAAGGTGGCATCAGCATGACAAAGAATTTATTTGGGGCGGCATGTTGGGGAGAGAAGATATCAGAGTAACATTTTTGTTACCACGAAATATGCTAGTGCCATAGATCATTATGGAACTAAAACCTCATTTCTGTAAGGATGGCTAGGACAGGGAAAAGTGAAGTAGAGTGATCGTTTTTGTGCTAAGAAAGGAAGAAGAAGGGATCAGGAAAAACATGAGAGAAGGTTATATGCGAGAGAATATGCCACCTAATATCTAATATGACAATCCCTTGATACTACTGGCTTCCTCTTCCTTGGTTTAGAAGCACTTACCCTGATTTTGGCCTTAACAAGAGTGCTTAAAAAAATCATAACAAGTACTGGGTAACTCTTTTCTGACCTTATCTAGAACCAAATCCTTGTACCGAATGTGCTGTGCGACATTTTAAGATATCAATGGTGGAGATTATTGGTCGCACATACTTATGTACTTAAATGCTTTCATAGCTGGTGAATTAGAAAACTCATCCTTCCCCGTAACAGTCAGTGGAATTCTTTTCTTTACAAATATTTTTAGTCACAACTTAAATGCAGCTGTTTGTATGCTCTGTAAGATCATAGGTATACATTAATGTCATTTGTTCCTTCCTGAATTCGCTGAACATTTCATTTGATTTCAGCACAGGCTTAATATAATCAAAGTCAAATAGTGTTATAAGAGTGAAGAAGCACTATGTACACCTCTGCTTCTTACCTTCATATTGTTATATGGCTGATTATTATGATGTGTGTTTGCAGGTTTTGAGTAAAATAGTGTCTGTAGCATTCAAGTATCATTTCCGCATGCCACCATACTTCACCCTCCTGCTTCGTTCTCTTGCGTCATTAGAAGGTAGATAAGCATGCCAAGCTCATATTTCTTACAACTCCCCTTTTTCTTTTTGATAAGTAAGGTAAGAATTTAGTTAGAATCAAAACAGCAAAAAGATCTATGCTTCATTTGATCTTGACTAAAACTGATAACCATATGAAACCAAGGGGGTGTTAATTAAATGGGTCATTTGCTTGGCTGTATAAGGAGATAAAAATCTCGGCATAAAATTTAGCATAACTAGATAGCAACATAAAGCCCTGTATTACTAATATAATCTTTATATAGCTAATGCAATGTTTGATTTCAATCATAAAATATTGCATATGCATTATTTGGTTTCCGGTATTGAACTCTGCACTAGTGTACCATTATAACTTACGGAAGTTAATGTTTTTTTTTTGAGGGGTTGAATATGGAGTAAGCATGTGTGTAATTAACAATACCTAGATAAACATATCTAAAGACAAAAAATGCCCTATAAGTAGGTAATCCCTGCATAGCATTTTGAAATGGTGCCATTTTAAGTTGAAAAATTTGCTAATGTAAATACTACCCGAATCCCAATAAAACAACCTACAAAAGGTTAAAACTAACCTAAACCCAACCTAAACCTACAACTTGCAGCAGCCCCTAATTTCCTATCTTTCCATGGAACCTATAATTTAGCTTCTGTTGTAATTCTGATGTATAACGTGGTTGCCTTTTTTTTTTTCCTTGGAGAAGTAAAGGTAAATTTTATGATAGTACGAGCAAAAGTAAGACAGTGCATAAAAGCTACATATTGTGCAATTTCCAGATTATATCTAAGGAAATCTATGTTATTTACATAGACTAGGTTGCACCAAAAAACTAGCAAAAAGATACATCTGTGCTTCATGTTCTGTATATTCCTCTGTTTGCCTTAAAAAAACTGTTGTTTCTTTCTGTCCAAATTGTCCACCAAATGACCGAAGGTATGGTATTCCAAATCTTGTTGAGTCCAACTCTGTTTCAACTGTGTAAACAATCCAGAATATACTGTGGTATTGTCCATTTCATGACAAAGATTGCAGTGAATATGCTCCAGATCTGATAATTGATCTTACAGTGCAAAAGGGAAAAAAAAGTGATGACATAGCTCTTCAGGGTATTTTTCACATGAAGTTATCTTACATCCTCTGTCACCAGCCAAGAAATGGAAGAAAACTTCAAAGGTGCTTTGTTTTACCAAGTCATCCTCCAAAGCCAAGAGTTAGTGTTGCAAGAAGTCAATAATCTATAGCAAGACCTAACAGAGAAAATCCCATCTGAGTGACCTTTCCATTTACTAGAATTATCCTTGTGCTGGTCCCAACCCAATAGAGCTGAGAAGATCAAAAGAGAGAGTTCTTATTTCCAGTCCACTTAAGAAGAGTTTCTTTTAGGAAAAAATACCATTCATGGGTATCAAAAAATTCAACAATTGTAGCATTGTATAGAGAAGAAATGCTGTAGATGATGTATAACGTGGTTGCTATCCTTGGTGTGTGAACGTTAATGAAGTGAACCTTTGCCTATCAAAAATAAAAATGCAAAAATTCACCATTAATGATTTTTCTCCCTCTTCCAATCTGAATGTGCGTGTGTTTTGAAGGTACAACCAGTTCTTCGTTTTGTCTCAAAAATTGCTCTTAGAGCGGGTTCCTTGTGGGATTGAATTTTTAACATTATACTTATTGTGTTCCAATATAACTGTATATCTGTAACATCCACTCATCTTCTCAGGATTGGCGGTGGCTGGAGATCCATGTTTCAAAACTTTCGACGCTGCATTTCCATATGTTGTTTGGAAGCTTCTCTCTGATAATTCTGCTGCTACGAGAAAAATTCTGCATTCGGTATTTTACCGCCTTATACATTCGGTCTCTAGTCATACTGTAATTGACCTTACTGGTTGTCCCTTGACATATTAAACATCATATTTAAAATGGTGTTCACTGAGCTTATTCTGTTTACCGTTTTATCTGGTAGTTGGCTTGTGAAGGAAATAATGTTTTGACTTAATAATCTCACATCTCATTGGGGAAAAATAAACTTTAGAAAAACTCAGGCATGATAGTCAATATCTTTTACAGTGAAGTGGATCGAAGGTTACCCTTGTTAGTTTGATAGTTAAATAGTAATAAATAACCCTAATCCCATATGTATTAGGAGTAGGACATGTATTATATATATATATAGGGCTCATTGTATCATTGTCATTAATTAATCAATAATATTTTCTCCCGTGCATTCTCACATGGTATCGGAGCGGCAGTGAGAAAACATCCGAGAAAGAAAACCCAACCAAAACAGTCGTCGTGCTTCAATTACGACGACCTTTTAGGGCTGTTTTCTTGAAAAAACCAATTTTCATCGGTGTTGTGCAAAAACCAACACCACCACGAAGTAGATCAGCTTCCGGCGACCAACCCGTAAAAACTTCTCCGGCAGACCACCTCCCACGCGCCCTCACGCTCCGCCGGAAAATATTTTCCGGCGAGTCTCCGTCGTCACGCGCCGGCGCGTGAGGCTTCATCCGGCCATTTTTTGGCCGAGCTTCTTCAGGACAGCCTGGTCGCACAACAATTCCGAGCCTACCCATACTTTTTTTTTTTATTCCGAGCACTTTGAGATTTTTCCGGCGTGAACAGTAAGTTTTCCGGCGAGAACAATAATTCCTTGAAAAATTCTGCTTTTTTTCCGGCACAATATATAATGGCATTCGTATCAGAAGCCTTTAACTCACAATCCGTTGGATCCAATGCATTGGATCCAATCTAGATGGTTTCTTTACCGGATTATATTGAGTTCCTTCAGTACAAAACACGTAAACAGACATCTTCAGAATTAGCCTCCGTTCCAACAAATAGTAGCATGACTTGTGTCTCCCAATCTTCAACTTCTGAGTCTTGGGTCATTGATTCAGGTGCATCTGATCATATTTCTGGTAACAAATCTCTTTTCACTAGTATTTCATATTCCCAATCTCTTCCAACAGTCATAATAGCTAATGGGTCTCAAGCCATGGCAACTGCAATAGGTCAAGCAAGTCCACTTCCTTCCTTACCTTTAGACTCAGTTCTTTATGTTCCTAGTAGTCCTTTTAATCTCATAGTTGTTAGTCACTTAGCCAAATCACTTAAATCTGCTGTTTTATTTCTTGATGACCTTGTTTTTATACAGGAACACAGTACAGGGCGGATCATTGGTACCAGACGTGAATCAGATGGACTTTATTACCTTATCCTTGCAAAATCACATGACTCACATCTTGTCTTCCTCCAATAACTTGTCCCGTTACTGATCCACCAAATTTATTAGATAAACGGTTAGGACATCCCAGTTTGTCAAAACTTCAGAAAATGGTACCTGGCTTATCTCACTTGTCCACTTTAGAGTGTGAGTCATGTCAGCTCGGTAAGCATACCCGCTCCCATTTCCCGCGGCGTCTTGATAATCGAGCAGAGTCACCTTTTACTTTAGTCCATTCTGATGTTTAGGGTCCTAGTCGGGTTAGTTCTACCTTGTGATTCCGCTACTTTGTCAGTTTCATTGATGATTATTTCAGGTAAACTTGGATATTTTTGATGAAAAATCGATTTGAGTTGTTTTTTAATTTTCCAGACCTTCCACGCTGAAATTCAAAATCAATTTGGGTTTTCTATCCGCACATTTCGTAGTGATAATGCCCTAGAGTATTTGTCTTCCCTATTTCAGCAGTTTATGAACTCCCATGGGATTGTTCATCAAACATCTTGTCCGTACACATCCCAACAAAATGGGGTAGCTGAAAGAAAGAATAGACATCTTATTGAAACTGCTCGTACCCTATTCATACAATCTCATGTTCCGTTGCGTTTTTGGGGGGATGCAGTTCTTACATCTTGTTATCTTATTAATCGTATGCCATCTTCAGCTATCCAAAATCAAGTTCCATTCTCTGTCCTGTTTCCCCACTTACCTTTGTTTTCTCTTCCACCCCGTGTCGTTGGGAGTACGTGCTTTGTTCATGACCTTGCTCCAGGAAAAGATAAGTTAGCTCCTCGTGCTCTTAAGTGCATATTTCTGGGTTACTCGAGAACGCAAAAGGGATATCGATGTTATTCTCCTGACCTTCCGCGATTTCTTATGTCTGCTGATGTTACCTTCTTTGAAACCCAATCATACTTCACAGGTGCAGTTAATCACTTAGATATTTCTGAGGTGCTACCAGTTCCTTCTTTTGGAGATTCAGTCCCTATCTCCCATTCATCTTCCTCCATAGCTCCACCACCTATAGTTCCAGTTACAGCTCCACCAGCTATAGCTCCAGTGCCACCACCGAGTCCAGTGCCACCACCTAGTTCAGTGCCATCATCGAGTCCAGTGCCACCACCTAGTCCAGTTCCACCAACTATAGCTACAGTGCCACCACCTAGTCCAGTTTAACTTTCTACAGCTCCACCACTCCTGACTTATCATTGTCGTCCGCACCCAGCATCAGGCCCAGCTAATTCACGTCCTGCACCTGACCCTGCTAATACTGCGGACTTGTCTCCTCTTAATCAACCGATTGCACTACGAAAAGGTATACGGTCCACACTTAATCCTAATCCTCATTATGTCAGCTTAAGTTACCATCGTCTGTCATCATCCCATTGTGCATTTGTGTCATATTTGTCCTCTGTTTCCATCCCTATGTCTACAGGTGAAGCGCTGTCTCATCCCGGATGGCAATAGGCTATGATTGACGAGCTGTCTGCTTTACATACGAGTGGTACTTGGGAGCCTCTTCCTCTTCCTTCGGGCAAATTGACCGTTGGTTGTCATTGGGTGTATGCAGTCAAAGTTGGTCCAGATGGCCAGGCTGATAGACTTAAGGCTCGTTNCAGGGGGAGTCTAGTGGCCTTGTATGTCGGTTGCGCCGGTCCCTCTATGGTCTAAAGCAGTCTCTTCGAGCCTGGTTTGGTAAGTTCAACACAGTTATTCAGGAGTTTGGCATGACTCGTAGTGAAGTTGATCACTCTGTATTTTATCGACATTCTGCTTCAAATCTCTGTATTTATCTGGTCGTTTATGTTGACGATATTGTTATTACTGGCAATGATCAGGATAGTATTAGTAAGTTGAAGCAACATCTCTTTCAGCACTTTCAAACTAAGGATCTGGGCAGATTAAAGTATTTTCTAGATATTGAGGTCGCTCAGTCTAGCTCAGGTATTGTGATCTCACAACGGAAGTATGCCTTACATATTCTTGAGGAGACAGGAATGACAGGTTGTAGACCTGTTGACACTCCGATGGATCCGAATTCTGAACTTCTGCCGGGACAGGGGGATCCTCTTAGTGATCCAACAAGATATAGGCTGTTGGTTGGTAAATTAAATTACCTCACAGTGACTAGACCTGACATTTCCTTTCCTGTGAGTGTTGTGAGTCAGTTTATGGATTCTCCCTGTGATAGTCATTGAGATGCAGTTGTCCGCATTCTTCGGTATATAAAATCAGCTCCAGGCAAAGGCTTATTATTTGAGGATCGAGGCCATGAACAGATCGTTGGATACTCAGATGCTGATTGGGCAGGATCACCTTCTGATAGACGTTATACGTCTGGATATTGTGTCTTAGTAGGGGGAAATTTGGTGTCTTGGAAGAGCAAGAAACAGAATGTGGTTGCTCGGTCTAGTGCAGAGGCAGAATATCGAGCAATGGCTATGGCCACATGTGAGCTAATTTGGATCAAACAGTTGCTCAAGGAGTTGAAACATGGTGAGATTAGTCAGATGAGACTTGTGTGTGATAATCAAGTTGCTCTTCATATTGCGTCAAGTCCAGTGTTCCATGAGAGAACTAAACACACCGAGATTGATTGTCACTTTGTTAGAGAAAAGATACTCTCGGGAGATATTGCTACAAAATTTGTGAAGTCGAATGATCAGCTTGCTGATATTTTCACCAAGTCCCTCACTGGTCATCGTATTAGTTATATATGTAACAAGCTCGGTACATATGATTTATATACACCAGTTTGAGGGGGAATGTTAGTTTGATAGTTAAATAGTAGTAAATAACCCTAATCCCATATGTATTAGGAGTAGGACATGTATTATACTCCCTCCGTTTCAATTTATGTGAACCCATTTGACTGGGCACGGAGTTTAAGAAAAGAGAGAAGACTTTTGAACTTGTGGTGTAAAATGAGGCACATATATTTTGTGTGGATATAAATCATTGCATAAAGGTAAATTGTTTCCAAATAAGGAAAGAGGTCATTCTTTTTGGTACGGACCAAAAAGGAAATAGGTTCACATAAATTGAAACGGATGGAGTATATATATAGGGCTCATTGTATCATTGTCATTAATTAATCAATAATATTTTCTCCCGTGCATTCTCACAACCCTCACCTTATACACTTTTTCTTGATTTTTCTTTTGGAACCCTCCTCATGCTTACTTTACCTTTAAAAAAGCTTCTCCTTGTTCTGCTATACAAAATTTGCTTATTTACTGATACTGTTAACAAAAAGATGACTTTTAGACTTCTGTATCACCTTTTTCTTCAATGTTATGTTTCTGTTCCCTATTCAGGTGGTATTAAACAGAAAGAAAGAATTTCAATGGCAGAAGCTAGCTCTTTTCCTGAGAGTGGCAGCGACTAGGTACCATGACATAGTCCTTTTTCCATTATACCCTTTTTCTTTTTGGTTTTTCGATCAGTAAATTTTAAATGAATGCTTGTGTTGTTTCTTAGGGGTCGTTTGGTAGGATGTATTAGAAAAAATAATGCAAGCATTAGCTCTATGCATTACTAATACCTTATTTGGTACATTTTTTTAACTTGTGTATAACTAAACATCATACTTGGTATTATCCTATGTATAAGTAATGCATAGAAAACCTGGCATTAGTAATACCAAGGCCATTAATACATGCATTAGTATAGTTAAAGACAAAATTATCCTTAAAGTCCCTTAAAGTTAGAGAATATGGAGGGCATTTTTGTAAACAATTATTTTTCTTAAAAATTATGCAATGCATTATAATTTTAATACACCACACCAAACAATAGATAAGAAATAATATATGCATAACTAATGCTTGCATTACTAACCCATGCATTACTAATACACCTTATTCCGCATTATTCTTATACACTCTACCAAACGACCCCTTAGTGTATTCTTTATGCTTCTTTCTTGACATCCTCTTCTGCTATATTTATCTATTGTATCTGTTGCTTAGCCTCTATACTTCTGCAAAAAGGAAGAAAGACGTAATTTTCAATGGATACAGGAGTCCCAAACTGCTTTTCTTGCTGCCTGAACTTCTCACTTATCTTTGATCATATCTTTCTAATTTGCTTTCTGAGTTTTTCATATCTTGCTTTACATGAGATTACAGTGCTTGGTTTCTGTTTCTTCTTTGACTGCTTCTTGAAAGGATCTAAAAACTGTTCTTTCATGTATCCAGTGGTGAAAGGCACTTTGCGTGCTTGAGACTTGAGAGATCTATTGTGTGTTTGAGTGGTGAAAATTTTTAGTCAGGAAAAGGAGGGAAGGGCAGGAAATGAATCATCTCGGTTTTCTCCTTTATTCCTCTGATGAGGAATGCCAGCTATGGTATTGGCAATATTTTTAAGAAGCCTGAGGAATGTGACACAGTGGACTATTTGCAAATTAGTTTCTGTGAACTTTTACATCTCCTAAAGCAATATTAGGAGTAATGCATATTTCCTGACAGCATTCTGTTTCAAATATTATACATTCTCTATGCAACGAAGAAATCTGAAAGAATTAGACTTGATGGGCCAGTTGGCTACTGCATTTGGTGCATCTTTTAGCTTCTCTTTCAGATGTGACGGTTATTAGAAGCTTTTCCTCCTAGTACCTTGTGGATGTTGACTGCTAACTCTTTCCAGGAAAGGGATAAACGCTACCATGGCACCAAATCCTCAAGCATCTCTTGCTTATCTGAACTCTATCGTGGCACCAAATCCTCAAGCATCTCTTGCTTATTCTTCTGATAGAGCTGCTGGTGTATTTGATGTTGCAGACTTGGTGTTGAGAATACTACCATCTAAAGATGGTATTGTACTGAGAAGATTGCTGATGACAGCAGTGAGTGCCTTTGCCTGATATATTGCCTTGCCCTGATATTCTTTTACTGTTACCTTAAATATGACAACCCTTTGCTTTTAAAAGAATCAAAGCTTGGCAAACTGTTGGCCTTAAATGGGATCCTGAGGCAGGGTGGGTGGTGGTTGGAAGTAGAGTCTTGCATTGAGTCATATGGTTTATTAAGTATGTAAATTCAGAAATGTAAAATTGAAGTTCAACGGAAAATTCCTTCTCATTATATGTGTTTGGTGTCTTTACAAAAATGTTTTTCGCGAACATTTGGAGGTGAAAAATTATGGTGGCCTTATTCTCTAATTTAGACATGGAAAAACTGATCGATATCTACATTTTGGTTTGCAACTTGATATCCATTTCTTGTTGTAGGATGGAGCTTCATTAGTTAGAGCATTTATTTCCAGGGAGGCAGAATTCTTTCGTCAACATCTTTGCAGAATTGCTGCTGATATACTGTCCCAGTGGATATTTGAAACACTTGGAAGTAATGTAATTAGCTCCCGAGTGCAGCTAACGGGTGCAACCACTGTAAAGATGGGATCGTCTTCGGCAGTGTTCTCACCAGACTATGATTACAAGTTAACCCTCAGGGATCGACGGCTTAAACTGATTCTCTTCAAGGTCTTAGGTTCTGCAAGAAAAAGTCCAATACTGATGATGAGGTTCTTCTGCTCTTCATTTCTGATTTTTGTCAAAGCATCAGCTTTGGCTTGTCATCGGTTTTTGGTTTGTCTCTCTAACGCTTACCTGGATCGTGTATCACTTGTTCCAAGGAAAGTCGTAGTTGGTGCATAAAGTTTTGGTTCGGCCACAAGCAGTTGAGTTATTCAATACCCTCTTTTACAAGTTATATTAAGGAGATTGCAACAAATCGCATCTTTTGAAAGATGATGAATACCAGAATCGAGTAGCCTCATTCCCAGAATGGATCTTCTTCTACTTGCTTGAGCTAAAATAGGGCCGAGCACATGCAGCAACTCGCGACCCTCTACCCATCCTCGAAATACTCAGCAGATATCGTGACTCTCACTTTGCAAGTTGTCAGAGGACTACCCTTTGGCTTGCCATATGCATAGGAATTCTATGGTTGGCGTTATAGAAAATTGTATGGACAAGTTGCATCTCTTTTTGGCATGTATATCCTTCCTCATTCTAATCCTTGTTGGTCTGAACAATTTGTACAGACTAAGAAAAAGAAGAAGGTTTATTGTATATTCTTGCATATTGAGGGACCTTTTAAGGGAAAGTAGAAAGTTTCTTATTCAGAGATGTTTTCCTAATAGAAAGAGAACGACAACTCCACAAAGTCGCAGCACGAGTTAAGTTTGAAAATGTTTCTCCCTCATTTTTTTCTTTTTGTTCTGGAGAATATTATAAATGTGTAGCACAAAAGACTTTACTAAAGTGGTCACATCTACAGTTTGGAAAAAAAATCCAAAAGACAGCTTTCTCCTGGATCCTTCTATAGGTATTCTATAGTGTCTATCATCGAATCAACATCCTGTACAAAATCTTCCTTACACCAAAAAGTGAAAAAAACAGGTAGTTCATCTTGATTTGCTGTATGGAGTTGCTGGTCCCCTTCAAAACATTTAGTGTCTTTGCTTCCATATAATATAATCTGGTATGATTTCCACCATATGCAGCCTCGTATGATCTCCACCATTTTGTCTGACCAGTGCACCAGGTAAGTTCCAGCAGTCAAGTAGCTCCCCTGTAATCTTGGGCATGATCCATGATAT